GTGTGTGTGTGTGTGTGTGTGTGTGTGTGTGTGTGTGTGTGTGTGTGTGTTGCTAGGGATGAACTGGATTGGCACCGATGAAATGGCCCAGAGGCTTTAACAAGAACACTTGGTTGTGGCCTGATTTCTTGACAGTATAAGGAAGATGTGTTTGAGAGTTTTTGTTTGTTTGTTTGTTTGTTTGTTTTTCCAGACAGAGTGAGTGGCTAGCTGGGAGAAATGAGGAAAGAGAAACATTAATTATGAGGTCAGCTTTCTAGTGTAGGCAACTAAGAGGATCCTAGGGCCTTTCACAGAGACTAGAGAAGCCAAGGAAAGAGCCAGCTGAGGAGAACAGGGCACAGGACATTTCTCCATCTAAATTGAAGTTGAGAATGCTTATTTTTATGAAAGAAAAGTAACAAAAATTATTGCATAGGAAATGCTATACTAAAACAAGCTAGGGGACAAAAAGCTAAAAACCTTCCTAGATAAAAGGTAAACTGTATTCAGTAAAAATAAATGATTTACCCTGGCTAGAAGACCATAGTAGAAGAGGTCACTCATGAGCATGTGTCAGGCCCTGTCACCTGTAAATTTAAGCTTATCATGCAAAGCAGGTCCAGTGGGCAGTGTCTGCCATGTCCTCATCTGAATGTCCTTAACCCACAGCACAGTGCTGATCTAGAGGGGATTCAAGGGATAGCTATTGTTTTCCATATGTAATTTACATATTAAGTCTGTTTACATCAGTGTTTCCTGAGGTTGCTGTGCAGGGTGTTATTTCTGTCAATCTTGGTTTTAGGTGGATTGGGGTCAGCTGGACTATTTGGTTGTTGACATGCCGCCAGGAACAGGAGACGTGCAGTTATCGGTTTCACAGAATATTCCCATTTCAGGTAAATCCTAAAAGTTTGATTTGCTTTTCTCTTTGATGTATTGCTGTTACTATACATAAAGTAAACTATATTGTAGACAAACTTTCTGTCTTAAAATTATTTACAAATTGACTATTAGAGATCAGAATTATGTATTGCACTTTTGATGATAAATGTGTATATTTATAAAAACAAGGTACTTTTAACGGCATATAAATCTGTATTCTGGACTATTATAGCATTTAAGTATATTTAGGTAGATCATGGCTGTTTGGCTATGCTGACTATTCAACTCTTAGCAGCAAAGTGCTAACAAACAAACAGAAAATATTAGTTAATGAAACTGAGTAGGAGTAAATGGTAGGAAAATTGGCTTTTTGGCAAATATAGTTATGGATTTTAAAAAAAACTTCTTATTGGTTCTTTGTGAATTTAACATAATGCACTTCAGTCCCACGTATTTCCCTTTCCCCTGGCACCTGCCCTCCAGCCTAACAACCTCTCCGGCAGCACACACAAAGAAGTCTCACTGTGGAAGCTGTACCCCACAGTACCCCACAGTACCCCACAGTACACCCTTCTGTTCATACTTCCGGCTTGCAAATGTGCATTGTGGTGAATCCTGGGTCTGGTAGAGGCCTCTGGTTTCTGCTACACTATCAACACTGGGTCCTCACCGCGACTCCTCCTGGATTTCCTGTTGTTGCCCCGCGTCATGGAGAGCCTGTGGCTTTGGATCTGTAGGTTCGGCCCCTTCACACACTCTAGCAGTTCATCGAGTGGTTAGATTTGGGGTGGGCCAATTCAAAGCCCTGGGTGTGGGCCTGAGAAGTGTCTGAGCCTGTAAACTCTCACCAGGGCCAGCTCTCCCGCCCTGGCCAGGCTAACCTAGGCAACGCCTCTGCCATACTGTGCACATCTGTGTCTACACGGAACATCGACACAGCTCTCCTCTCTGCCGCCTCCCGCCGCACGTGTGACACACGGCCACACCTTCAGTGCCTCTAAGGGCAGAAGGAAATGTTTATAGTCTGCTGTTTCCTTGGTTTTAAAGTCAAGGGAATAAATGTAATGGCTTATTTGTAAAGTGTACACGATTCTAATATATCAGTAGGTTATCTTTCTTTGATATGGAATTTAAAAATTGGTAGTTTCTCTATTTTAATTCATTTTAAATTCATTAATTATTTTAATTCATTTTAATTCTCTGAAACAGTTGGAAATGTGTGCCTATGCACCCACACATTGGGCTTCTAGGAAAATAATGGAAACTCAGAATATCTTTGCAAGTAATTTTTTACTGGTCATTTCAGCTTTGCCATTGACATTTAGTTATTAAAAGGCTTAAATCTAACGTTTTTCTGGCAAGCTATAGGTGTTTGTTGTCACTAGCAGAAGAGCCTCATTATTAGGCGTATTAACTGGTTAATGTGTCTGTTACCTTAATGAAGTGTTCTGGTAAGATGGGCTGTAAAGGATGAAACTGGCATAAAATGACAAATAAAAATAATTTATCATTTAGACGATTGCTCTACTATTTAGTGTGCCTTTTTCTTTTTAAAGTACAAGAGTTAACTGACTTCCTCAAGGCCCCACATTTACAATGTATCATACCTGAGGTTCACATCAACTCTGATCGAGTTTAAAGCTTTTGGTTGGAATCTCTGGATCAGGGGTCCCTTGTAACATCTGAGCCATGCTTTGCTGAGTTCAGCCTTAGCGCATCCAACCCATTTTAAGCTGAAGTTAATGTTAAGTTAAAATTACATTTACCAATGACTGTGTCAGACCTGTGCCCCTATGACGTGACTCTCTAGCTGGGGGGCTTATTCTGAGGAGTAATGTTTTGACTCCCAAGAGACTACTCTGAACCTTGACTCACCCATCCCAAGAAAAGTCTGAAGGCCATCGAGAAGCAGCTCCTTAATTTTCAGCAGAGTTCCAGGAGCCTCACTGAAAGACCCCTCTGTCTTTGTGCTGGCCTGTAGACCCAGTCTTGATCACTGTGACCCCAGTCCGCTGTGGAGCCACAACAGTTAGTGCTTATGTGCCATGGCATGACAGCATTGACAGTGCTAGTGAAAAGACCTCATTTTCTCTAGTGAGCATGCACTGATTTTATAATTCAGAACAGTGGAGGAGCAGGCATAACTGGCTCTTTGCATGTGTAAGATCTTGGGTTCAGTCCTCAAAAGCAGGGACTAGCAGTATCAAACAACAAAAATGCCCTGCCAAAAAAAAAAAATGATGTCCAGGAGAGTTTGGGGTATGTGTGACTATTTCTCTATGTGTTTGTTAAAATGTTTGTTCAAGGCTTCATTCTTGAAGCTTACTCTTATTTAGGCCAATGCCCTTTCTTTGCAAGTGTATCTAAGAAGACACTGGAAGTGGGCTGGCTCCAAGGCTCCTGGGGTGGTCTCAGGCATGGCGCATCAGGACTGTTACCAGTTTATCTACTGGAGCAGCCAGAGTCCTGTTTGCCCTTCAGAAGTATCTGTTCTCTAATTATAAAACTAGTTTCCTTTCCCTTTTTGTCCTGACATTAAAGCTCTTTTGCGATAGTCTGTTCTACTTTTTCTTTTGTGCTGTATTCTTCTAAGTCACAAACGCCCTTTAGACCCATGTCTCTGACTAGACTTCCTGCTAAATTTCTTTACATAAAGTGAGATCCCTACTCCAAAACCCTGTGTACCCTCTGCCCACACCCTCATAGCCCCTCACTCACTCTCTTCCCTTTGCTGAGTCTGGGTGTACACATATTTGGTTCTCATTCAAAATGTATTTCCATTGCAGCCAGTTGTATGCCAAGTCCTGCATGACCTTTAGAAAACGCCCTCCCTTCTAATGCCCACATCCTGCCTCCCTCCTCCCCCATTGGACTCATTTATTCCTCTTTGAAATTCACACAGTATTTTATTTGGAGCACTCGTCAGCACTCAGACTTCCTTCACTTGCGGTGTGCACCATTTGAAGTGCTGCCCTCTCCGCTTCCGGTCTCCTCAGCCTCTGCTCACCCACCTGTGCATTTCCAGCACAACCAAGCTCACTGCCTGCCTGCAGGGACTCGGGAGGCGGAGCACCCATGAATGGTAGTTTCCTCACTGTATGTCTTATCTTCCCAGCTAGGCTATAAGCTGCTTCAATGCCAGAATGTTTTCCTGTTCATCCAAATGTCTCTGAGATTGCTTGGGCAGTAGCATATGCAGTTAATATTGACAACGGTAGGCTGACCGGGCATCACTGTCTGAGTGAAAAGAGGACGGTCCTCTGAACACTCCACTACTCATTCTTGTATCTCTCCTGCTGCTTTTTCTATGTATAAGTCAAACAAAGCATTTCTTTAAAGCCAGAGAGAAAAATAATTTACTTTTAGGTATTTATTTTGATGTGGATGACATCCTTGTGGACAGTTGATACTGTTTAATATCTCCTTTTTGGTTGTGCTGGGATGGGGAGCAGCTTGTCCTTTGGTTACATGCAGGCTCTGTGTTAATGAGTATCTGGCTGTAAGTATCACTAGCACTGTTCCATTGTAAATATCTAAGTATCCAAGAAGTACCCTTTTAGAAGGTGTGTAAATGCTTTACAAGAGCTATTTACTGGATGTGGTTTGATGAAATGTTCCCCACAGAGACTCAGGCTACAGGTGTGGTTCCAGCCAGTGGCTTTGGTGAGAGATGGCTGGGACATAGGGGGCTAGTTTCCTCAGTGGTTTAGACAACACACCCTGCCCTCATCCCTTCTCTGCTTCCATCAGTTTTGTTCTCTCTGTGCCCCAGTGGGGCAGAACTATCCAGGCCAAGTGACCGTGGACAGAAGCCTTTGATAATGAACTGAAATAAGTCCTTTAAGTTGTTTTTCTCCACAGTTCTGTCACAGTGACGAAATGTTGTGAACTAAAGTCTCTATCAGGGTCACATCTGCTCCAAGCCATGTTGGGGACAAAATAAATGTTTTGCATTTGGAAAGAGGCATTATTTTAGAAATTCTTAGCAGGCCTGCTCAGGCAAAAAGATCTTCTTTCTAACTGCTAATTAGCAACGCTTTGTATGTAGCATTTTGTTCTGTGGGTAGATGACTGGCTCAGTATAAGAAATTTCAAAGAAAATAATTATTCTCTTAGTTGTGTTAAACTGTTGTACATTAACAGTGATGAATGTGTTGACAGCATATCAGGGAAGAATCATGTTAATCTGAGCTTACATGGACCACTAAATTGTTACATTCTGAGTACAGACCAGAAACTCCTACGTGTAAATTGCAGGAAAGATAACGGTTAGGGGCTGAGATCATGACTGTAGAGTCGCTCTTGTCTTACTGAAAATGCCAACAGGTGGCATTAATGTTGGCTTCATTATATTTCTTACCTTGTTATTGATGATGCATCTTACTAGGTTTTGTCTCGTACTTTATTTTGTAAATTATTTGTTGCTATGTCTTGGATTGGGTAGGTTCCAGAGCTGAATTCTGTTTTGTTCACCAGATGTGCATTGAGGCTCTCTTAGGAGTTATTGATTATGTGATTATTTTCCATAATAGAAGAGAACTAGTATTTTTTGAGAGGCTTGTAATTTTCTTAAAAGATTTTGAAAACATGTACACTGTTCTAGTTTTCAAATAGATTTTTCTTTCACTCTTGGCATCAACTGAAGTCTTTGAGTGATCCTCTGAAGCTTTATTTTAACTCTTAGAACTAACTAAATAGTGTATGCTTTGTATCAAGTATGTGAAACGTGTTTTCTCTTTCTAAAGACTAGAGAGTCTTAGTGACTTACAGTGCTATATTAGCAGATGACACATCTTAATTTAATGAAGAATCTAGGTCCAGGGATGTGAGCAGCAGCATTAGCGACACTAAAAGATGATGAAGCGTCCAGGGACTAATGGCAGGAGTTCTTCCTGCTCCTCCACCTGAGAAGTGGAGAGAATGGTGTTAGTATTCTGTAGAGTCTTGGAACCTGTGAAGGAGGTGCTTGGTGGGGGCTATAGCCACTCCCAGAACCACTGCAAGGTAGGAGAGA